TCCTGGTGTTTTCACTCTGAATAAGCATCACCGATCATCAATTTGGATTTGTAAAGAGGAAAACTTTGGCGGAGAAATCACATGACTGCCGTGGCTTCATCGTTCTCGAAAACCTCCGTTTTCGTGACGTATTAGTGTGGACGGTAGACCTAATCGCAGAAATAAAGCATAGTTTTCAAACTCCTATGGTGTAATGTGGGAGGGGCCTTAAATGCCAGGGACGAATAAAATTAAGGCTATTACAGGGTTTTTCGAGAGTAAACAAATAGTGATTTTAGTTAATTATGCAAAGGAAATTCCACCAACCTGCACAGTCTTTCCCGTTAGCCATGAGTTTGTATCCAGGATCACATTGGCACTCGACCCATTTGGTACACAAGAAATCGATGTGGCAATTGAAGTAACATTTGCCAAACAAGCAATACTTAGATTTTTGAATGCACGTCTGAGAACATCCACCGTTGCTATCGCTGCACAGCTCGGGATTCTTTGCTGCAGGTATAAAACCAAACGAGGTAACTGTTGTTGTTGTTGTTGTTGTTGTTGTTGTTGTTTCAGTTTCATTTTTCTTCCATTTCCAAAATGTGATACTTGTATTCAAGGTCAATATAAAATCAAATGAGATAATCTCTTTGGATTTGAATGTTAGTACTACGATATCCGGAATCGTATTTCATTATTGTCGTCATTTGGCTACAACTACGAGAACTCTTTCTTTTTTTCCTCTATTATTGAAATTTTGATGTCCCAGTATAAGTGGGGTTTAAATAGCAATTGNTTATAGGATTTGCGTTATGAGCATTAGTGCCCTAGTCTCTGATTGACTTACAAAATTTGGACTATAAATATTGAAAGCTAGAGCTGTAGGCACAACACGATTGCTCGTCCCGGTAAGAGGCTTGGAGCGATGAAGTGAGGCTTTGAATTCAAACTTTTCCCAAGATTACATGCCTTCGTCAACAATTTGCCACCAAGAAAATTGCAGGTTTTTAAGACCAACAACTTCATTAATATCACTGCTTCTAAAGGGCTATTTCGTTCCTTTCTTTCCTTTTTTTTTCTTCAAGCTCTTTAAACGCTTGAATTAAATTCGCATTTACACGTATAATACCTTAAAATACTTATGAGGTAAGATGTAAACATTGACGCCGGTAAAGGTCCCCCTACGCTTTATATATTACCGTATAAAATCTTGCCTTACATTTGCAACCATATATTTCAATCCTCATGCAGGGAAATTCAACAAAATCCAGTGGTACAATACGCATGTATTGTGTTCTTATTTGCAGATGAATGTCGTCCTTTGAAATCTTAAAAGAGAGAGACATAAAGTTAACACAAAAATAATTTTAATGTGGCATGAGGTTATTTTCAAATTCTCGATCTGGAGTGGAACTAGCTCAGTAATGGTGGCTTGTATGCATATAATCTTTTCTAATTCAACTGACACATTCCGAGGCGTTAGGCTTGGTTGTTTCATGCTAGTTCCAGTCCAATCCATTAATTCTAAAAGAGACTGAAGTAGATCACTTCACATAATGACGCGAAATTCTGTTTCACCTTACGAGCCCGTTAGAAAAAAATTCTACATGAACTCAAGTCAGTTCTTTATCTGGCTCAGTGTATTAGTTAGCCCGATGTTTCGTTCGTAGTTTTGTTTTGTTCGTTCCATCGGTCCTGGGTTCGAACATGCTGTTTCTCCCTTCCTTCGCGGGTACGCGTGTTTCTTTATTCTTGTTATATTATGAAAAGAGAGTATCTCTACTTGTCAACTTTTTTTCTGAAGGTCACACAAAGTCACTCAAATCTTACCGGCTCAAAATCTTCGTATGTAGCACCGTCAGCACTAACTTGAATCAGATACTTAGTGACACGCCTAGCAGTTTGATTGACAGCAGGACTTGCCTCAGCAGCGATGCGGATTTGTTTAACCAATTTTTTCTCGCCAAAATCAATCTGAAAATTAAGTTAGTTCCTGAGGCATGAGTTTCGCTATATCAACCTCAAGTTTTCAAAAGAAAATGGAGATATGTATTACTTCGAAATATATCAATGAACAAAATTGAATAAATCAATAAATCAAAAAAATGTAAATTTATGTTAAAAAATTCAATTAATAAATTTCAATTTTTTTTT